ATGGAATATAAGAATTTTACTAAAAGTTATTTCTTCTAGAAATGTAATGTAGTTTATCACTTCCTCAAACTGGTCATTGTCAATAGTGGCTCCTTTCCTTTTCGAAGATACTTAATTATCTTTAGATTTATTAATATATCACGCTTCAGGCACGATATAGGTTCATCAGCAATTGATGTTGTCCTTCTAGGACATCAATTTTAATTGGAGCATTTACAATTAGTATATGATCAATGACATTTATTTATACCCATCTTCAGGATGGTATCATTTCAAAATAGCATGTGGCCACTTCTATTAAATAAATTGTTGGTATTCAAGTTAATGTATATACCAAAATTGACTATCAATATATTTTATTATTTATGTGCAAGGATTACATAAAATAATGGAATGAATACAATCTCCCCCTAATCCTTGCATATGGGGCATAAAATGAATCCAACATTAAATCTCATCCAAATTTTAAGGCATAAATTCTTTTAGCAATGATTGTATCAAGCATAATAAAGTTATTTTTATAAACTTGTTTTTACTCGTAACTCTTGCCAAATTATATTAATTTCTTATAAGAATGGGCATAATATATATATTTTACAAGTAAGTTTTCCACAATGTCATATATATATTTTACAAGTAAGTTTTCCACAATGTCATCCATCTCGATCTTGCTCAAATATATATTGTGCAATTGTGTTTAATACATAGATCGTATAACTTTTACATGAATTATATTCATCACGAAAACATGCATGTATCATCTCAATCATACAATTATTTCTTATTCATTTTCGGGTATAAGAATCTAGTTATATATGAATCATTAATACTCACCCAAATTGTGGTATGACTGGTATATATAATAACTACCAAATTAAAAGAAATTATGTCAACTTTTCTAAATTTTTGTATAGTATTATTTCATGAAATTGTGTTTATAAAATCACATTAGTATGTAGTGGATATCTAAGCAACATGCTTTACCTTTGTAGATCATGCACATTTCTTTGTATTATTCTTAAGGGTTTTGAGCCCTTTATAAGTTCAAGCTAGGCACTTTAAGTCTATATGTGTGAATAATCTTTATAAATATAAGGAACTTCAGGTCCGCACATCATATTCAATTAACATTCATTCCAATAATCTAACTTGAAGTAGGTACATAATACTATAATTAAATTTAATCATACATCGATCAACATAATGTATATAGTATGCTTCATAATATTATCAACTTATAAGGATACTAAAAAAAAAAAAGGAGAGACGAATATGCATGCTATTTTATATAGAGCATTAACATGTAAAGTTAATAGTAGTACACTATTTGTCTTATTTATTTCATGTGGAATTATAATTATCCATGTAATATTATTATTAGCTCATCACAATGAAAACTACAACTTAAATTCAACGTCAAATAAATACTAGCATGATTTATGGTATCACCAAGTCCTTTTGCATCTAAGTGTATTTCAACAGTTGTTTCTAGTAATATCAAGAGCAACAAATTCGAGTTTTGCAAATTTTGACATGATTCAATGATATAAAATAATATTATAAATTAGGAACTAAGATATTATTATAAATATGTACTTTGCATATGCTAATTCAAGTTTCTATCAAAACAAAGTTCAAGCTAAGTATTGGGCTAAAAGATCTCAAGTTAATATTTGACAGTTATATAGCTATGTATATAAAAACTTTACCAAGAAAATAATTACACTATTCTATCTAGAGGGAATTAATGTTCATGAAACCACAACTAATTTAAGTTAGTTATCATAACAAAGATGAAATCTAACTAATAATATAGTATACGAAGCATTATCTTTCTGGTTGCCTAACTTATCATTCTAGTTGCCTAACTTATCATAATAGAACATAGCATCGTAAACATTCGACTCTAAAACTCAATACAGTAATATTGCAGGACCTATATTTCATCGTCAAACTTTAATACGAAACGAAATTCCATAGGTATTTATTCAATAATGTTAGCTCATTAAAGTTTTTGGCTTAAAAAGAATTGACGTGTGATGGTCATTCAAGGTGTAAAAGGTATGCAATCAAATAAACAAATAGAGAATTGCAAATACATATATTGATATATGCACACATATGACACGGGGTATATGATCACCAATATATAATCAAATTTATAGAATTGTAAAAGTATATATAAAGATACAAAATATCCATGAATGATCAAAACAAATAATCCTATGACAGCAAAATATAAGGCCAATAATTATGTCATTAATTTGATCAATCGCAAAAGTAAGCGACATTATCTAAAACTATTGATTTAATGAATTCAATGACCCAAATAAACAATAGTATTATGCAAAGAACTTGTAACGTATAGTGACTCTATTAATACAAATTAAACTATAGCACTAAAAATCAATACAAGTTAGGCACATTGAATCACAGTGCATAAAAATTATCGGTTGTTATGAAGTATAACTTATTCAATCCAACTTGCATACATATTTATATATCTACACCGATCTGGGAAAATCAATTAATAATTATGCATAATATGGAGTATATGCGTACCTTTGTTTATCCTTGATATATATATAACTATAATTAAACGTGTGTATTCGTATTGTATGCTCAATAGGCTAGAGTGGTGCTGATAACGTGTTATAAATTAAAGAGAAAGAGGAGAAAGTAGGGTACAGAATAGATCAGTCAATATTATTCCATAGAGTGAGGATATGTATACATAAAGTATAACTAGGGTTTGCTTAGATAACAATAAACCCGGGATTTAGAACATTCTAGAATGATAAAGGAGGATAATGAATATCCACACAATATTTCATAACAAGATTAAATTTTATTTTATTATTTTATTTTTATCATAGTTGGATCCGATTTAACCGAACAAACACCCGGCTACTAAAGCAACCCTAGTAGGGCTTCTCTATATAAATATTTCCAAACCCTCTTACTTTCGTTGCCGCACACTTACTCCCTCATTCAAACTTCTCTAATTAAGTATTCTCTCAAAATTATTATCTCTAATTACGTGAAATCCAATAAATAAACGCATCTTCGACTATGATTTTCTCTGCTTAATCAAATCAACAGAGAAATTACAATGAGATGCAACATCCATTGTACCTCTGGACGTGCAATTCCCTTTTTTTCATGGGATTCTTTTGCAGCTTTCTCGTAGGTTCTACAATTATTTTATTTATTTAATTTTTAAAAATTTGTTTTTCAAATTCAATTTTTGTTAACTTTTTATTTTTGCTCGATGATGATTCAATCAATGCTTTAACCACACCGAAGGAAGCGTAGTATTTGCTTGGTGATTTCTGATCTTGAAATTTTGATCTGTAAAATATGCTTGGTTTCTTGGTTATTTTTGATGATTCTTTTCTCTAAAATAAGTGAGAAATTTATTTTTCTGGCTTATTTTAGAGTTAAGAGGAAGGGATTTCTGATAAATTAATGCATATTTTTGGGGTTGAAATTTCTGTTGATTGGTTTTTGCCTTTCGGAGAAATGCTAATATGTGGAAAACCTTGGCCCTTTTCTGAGAGCAACTTTGATTTAGTTTTGCATTACTAGTTTAAATTACATTAACACGGTTTTTAATTCCATGTTTAAAATGGGAGTACTAATTTTACCTAAATGCAGGACAACTTAATTTTTAGTCAAATTTATTTTTCCAAGCTTACCCTTATTTTAAACTTGCACCCAATAACTATTTAATTACCTTTTTTAGTTATTTATTTATTTATTTATTTTTATTTTTTTAATTTTATTTTTAGGAAACTATTTAATTACCCTTAAAATATATACCTCATAGTCTTCATTCCTCTATAGACAAATTTCAGATACTTCACATGAACCTAGATTGATGAACACGACGCTTAAATCCAGTTATTTCTCATATTTTCAATAACAAAGTCCTATTATTACTAAACCTTGTCGATACACAGGCCCAACCCCGTTCGTAAAATACTTCCAAGGCTTTCAGCTAATTACCGGCTATGATTTCCGGGCCTCTTCAGTCTTCACCGCCTACCGGAATACAAATCCGGGGCCCTCTGCTGCCTACCGGAGTTCTTTTCCGGGGCCCCAGACTACTTACCGGAATTAATTTCCGGGGTCCTTTATTGCCTACCACTGCTACATTCCGATCATTGACTATATTTTCAATTAAAGTGGAATGAACATTTCATGCTTGATGATCTTTTAGATTTATAACTTTTTTTCATCTTCGTTATATGACGGAGTTGAATTAATTGTTTAAAAATTCTAACTTTAGAATCGAAAACACAAAGAACATATACCCACAATAATGGAAATTAATTATTTGGCTTCTCACCAATCACCATAACATTTTTATAACAGCTTGTTTCGGCTTTGCGTCATCTAATTATCAAATAACCAAAAGATGAGACTTTAAAAAATTGAGCAACATGAAGCTTTTAAGCTTGTTCTTAGTTGTAGTAGTGTGCTCTGAATCAATGGAGATTGGAAAATATGAGATGAAGGGAGCGAGATTCTTATTAGTAAAGGAGAATGAAATTAATTTGGGTTTATAAAAGGGTAGTATAGTCTTTTTTTTATATTTAAGTGTTTAAAATTAGAGGTTTTTAAAACTGATTCAATCGAAGACTAACTACTTGACTTGAGCCTGAATATCCCGGATCGAATCTGGCCTAGAATTTCTCAATTTGTTTTAATTTAGTTTTTTGCATTACTAGTTTAAATTACATTAACACGGTTTTTAATTCCGTGTTTAAAATTAGAGTTTTTAAAAACTGACTCAATCGAAGACTAGCCACTTGTCATGAGCCTGATTAGCCTGGATTGAATCTGGCCTAGTGACTCGAATTGATATCTCTATTTAAAAAGAATGGGACTTATATTACTCATTATATTATGTTTTTAAGTCTAAAAATTAAAAATTGGCGATATACTAAACATAATTTAAGTTACAGTCGGATGGACAGTAGCACAGAACGCCCAGTAATATATTAATTGCTTACACGCCTCTAAACTAACGCCTGAATTAGGATACTTAATTGATTGAAATATATTGAGAGAAGCAGAGATTTAATAGTGAAAAAATGGTATTTATCAAAATATATAAGTATTTCTTAATGTGGTTAACTAAATAATTGGTAATGGTACATAAGAAATTGGTAATTGTTTGCAAGAAAATTGATTACAGTGTTCATCTCTTCTCTGTTTGTGTTCTATTAATTGGACATAGTAATGCTCTTCTGTCAATGATAATAGTGGATCATGAATGTCGAAGCGTCTTCCTTGCTGAAGGTGTTCTTTCAGGAGGTGGTGTAGCATTCGTCCCTGAAGGTGTTGTTTCAGGAGGCGGTGTTTCGTTCTTTGGAGCATTCCTTGCTGAAGGTGTTGTTGTTTTAGGAGTTGGTGTTTCGTTCTTTGGAGCATTCGGAAATAAACTTGTGAAGAGCTTATTAGCTAGTACAGCATTGGCGGCGTCTGAGGGATGGAAAGCATCCCAAAAGACGTAGTCCTTCCTGTTTTTGCACACTTTAGAATTCGGCAAGCATAGTCCCCCAATTGATGTATCCACGTTACAGCAAGATGTATTCGATACCTTGAAACCTGGAAAATGACCCAGAACGATGGTTTAGTACAAGTTTTGATAATCTAATTGTGATTTAGGACTAAAAGAGTACGTGATTAGTCGAGTTTACCATAAGCTTGTGGGCTTGTGATGAGTTCTTGCACGTCTTGGTAAGTATCAGCAAATCCAAATTGTGCACCCTCGAGGTGTTGGTTCAAACTCAGGACTAAATTTTGTACCTTACTATTAAACTGTTGTACCCATTTGTTCACTTGGGTTAGGCATGTTCCTTGCTTTGATTTCACCCTCTGCGAGGGTATGCAGCCCAAGGGGCCGAGTCCATGGAAGATTACTCTTCGAGCACCCAGTTGGTGAAGGGTCTGATAGTAAACCATGTTAAGCTACAGTCAGCGAGTATTTGATATAGTAACCAAGTTTTTATGGTTATGTAACTTATACTCAGATTGATCATACTGAGTTTTATAGCAGAAGGAGAGGGTGATTACCGTAAGTTGGTTCCCTAATGTAGCGATTAGGAGCTCTACAAACTCATCATGGGAGTATTGCTGTCCTGCTACCATGAATGGTTGCAAGTAATTGTTGACATAATCATTGCTTCCTGTAAAATTTCGCAAAGCCTTAACATCAGTTTGTGTGCCTTAACCTCAGACTGACCTCAGTGAACCAGGAGTGATTTCGATCTTTTACCTATTCCAACAAAGTAAACAGCTTTGTTTAAGAGCTTGTTTGCAGCTGCTTCTCCTATCTTAGATTTAATGGCTAATGTCGTGTTCCCAAATGCATTGATTTGATCATCAAATGTTAATCTTTGTATCTGAACAAAAAAAAAAAAAAAAAAAAATGAAAAACAGAATTTATAAATGTAAATCCCGAAGAAAATCTTAACAAGCTGCGTAAAAGCAGTGGGTTCTTACAAAGTAAATGCCAGTATCATTGAGAATTCCTGCTCCCCCAGATGCATAATTCACTCCTTTGAGCAATCTATCGTCGTTTGGAGATAGGGAAAGATATGGTGGTGGTGATTGGATTCCGAGTTTCTCAGCTACACCATCAGGAAAAAAAATACTAATTAATCAATCATCTAAATATTATGTACATATTAAGTCTAACAGACATCGAAGTCATATCATGAATTGAGCTTTTGTTAAGTATATTACATATTATGTCACCAATGGTTCTTCCATTGGTGAACCTTCCAGTTGCTTGGCCACCCTCGTAATCAATACCATACCAAGGGTAGTTGGACTTGGCTAGAGAGTATTGCAAGTAATTGTTATTGCCAACTTCAGTCAAGGAATCGCCAAAGATAAATGTAACCAGCTCCTCCCCATCAGTTGGTGTCGCGGCAAAAGCTGTAAACACTAATAGGTCTATAGCCACCAAGAAAGCTAATGCCAATCTAAGTAACAATGCCATAGATTCGTTTATGTCGTTAGTATATATCTACACTTAAGATGCATACAATAAGTAATTGAAGAAGGGTTTTATATACATACAGCATTGTTTAATGGTTGGTGTTCTTTCTAACCAAGCATGCATACAATTATGTCCATTTCTTTAAGATTTTCTTTATTAGGTGAATTTTGTCAAAACAAGAAAAAAAAGATCTAGCAGATTATAGTATCAGGAAGATTCTGAAAATAGTATTGACTGAGACAAGGTTAAGCTTTGTTAGAGTGGTTGTTACTTAGTGTGAAATGGCAGTTGGCCAACTTAGTTTACAATTGTTTAGTCTGTTTTTTTAGGTATTTGTTCTCCAATAAGTTGTAGTATTTGGTGCCATAAAGGGTATATACTGGTACAACGGTGGAAATTGAGCTACTCCTTGGATGGTTAGTCTTCTTTTGGTTTGCTTCTTTCTAAGGGATTGGTATTGGTATTGCCTTGTCAAAACAACAATGTTACAAATAAATTTTCTAATTAATGTGCTACTTTATGTTACCTTCGAATATCGAATCGATTGGTAAAATTTTGTCTCTAAGTGATGTTAACATTTACTCTTTTCCCATAGATTAAAAAAAAAGTATTAATGCCATGAGTGGGTGTAAGAAAAAAGGTGACTAAAGTAATAGAAAAGTGTAAAATAAATTAGCGTAAAAAAATAGATCAATAAAGTATTTCTAGTACCTTCCCATTCTTTTTTGTTTGCACAATTTCACTTTTCACGATTATCAAGACACGTCATAAATTATAAATTTTGATATTCTAAAAAAAAACATTGAATTGAGTTCAATAAATTTTCAGATGATATATAATATATAGTAGACAATTTTGGTTTAGGCTTGGAATCGACTCCTTAGCAGATCCTATTCCCCCCCGGCCCCCTAAGAGATATTTTTTTGTTATGACACTCGATCTTAACTTAGTTCTTGCTCCGAAGCAAAAGTGCAAAACCATCCCATCCTCATAATGACATCAAAGTCAGACAAGTTATGCTGGAAAAGATTTGCAAATAACTCAATTCCATCTATGCTAATAGGAATGTCCTCATATAGCTAGAGACCTACAAAGTATAACTTCTCCCAAGGGTATGACTATGTTAGCTTTGACACGATAATGTGCGTTTCAATTCATACTTATTTACAAAAGAGGTGGCTATAAAAGAATAATGAAAAGCTCCAAAATCAACAGGCAATAAGCATGTAGGTTTAGAGTTAACAAGAAAAGTACCCGTCACAGTATTGTCTTCAACATTATTCTAGCCATTTTTGTTTCCTATAACATTGACATTGTTGTTTTGGCCTTTATTACATCCTTGAGCATTACTGTCACCTTAGCCTTGACCATTGTTGTTGTTGTTGAAGCGATTATTATATTTAGGATCTTACTAACGAACGCCCTCGGACGTTGGATAAACATTTAAAATCTTACCTAAAGTGGTATTAATTTGGGAAAGCATGACAAAATCACGCGTCTATCGGTGTAATTAATGTTAATTTTAATTTAATTTTTCTACTTTTAACTAGTTTATCCAACGTCCTCGGATGTTCGTTAGCATTTGCCTTATATTTAAAATTCTCTCCATAACCACCTCCGTTGTTCATTAATCATTATTATTACCTTGACCCATTTGACCTTGCCCTTGATTGGCATTCTACTTCTTGGACAATCGCGTGTCTTATATGACTAGGAATTGGGACACCTTAACAATTGTACCTTGAATGAATCTTGTCGTACATTCTACAAGGACGAGATCCTTGTTAAGTACTCGTATGTTTCCATTGTCCCCAAAAATTGATGCGATTGTTATTTTTGTAGTAATAATCTTGCTTGTAACCTCCACCACCGCCATTATTATTTGGGGCACCCCAGTTGCTCTTCTTGAGAAACAAGAAGAGTTTCGCTAGTGGCAATTGTGTAATAAAAATGCTTTGGGAATTGTAAAGAATTGGTATTTTAATCTGAATAATTGCTGACTGTAAGTTCCACTGAAGCTGGTGAAGTGGACCATTGTAGACGACGTTAGATGGTGAAGTTAACGACGTCAAGATTATCGTTAAAACCGAAGTAACTCAGATTCCAGATCTGAAGGTGGGCTTCCATTGCAACACCATTGGAGCTTCGTCTTTCACCTTCCTCTTTCGTCACACCGACAACAACCATCGACACCATCTTCTTCCACCATCGTCTAAATCGTCTCCACTGACGACAACCGCCATTTTCGGCGGCGAATATAGGCGGCTTTGCCACCAAAATTAAATTAAAAACCCTATAAGAAAGGGTATCATTTATGGCATGGTCAACCCAAAGGGTAAGGTGACCGTCCTCCATTGAAGCTTCGCCGGCAAATCTCGAATTCCTCCATTCAAACTCGAATGCCTCCATGAATGGTGCCTTCGCCGCTGGAATTTAACGAAAACACCCTAAAGAAAATATTGAAATTAAGGGTATGTTTAACCCTTAATGGATAGGTGTTTGACACTTGTGGAGCTTTCCCTCCATTGAAGCTACTATGTTTTTGGGTTGTCTTAGTTTTGAGAAAAAGATGGATTTCTATTCCAAGTTAAAACAGTAACTTTTCGTCAAAATCTAGGCATAAAAGCAGTTGCTAGTGATAATATGCAGTCATATGAAAAAGTCACTTATACCCCCACATTCTTGCAAAAACAGACCAATTTACCCCCTTAAGAAACACTCCTTGTTTCTCAAGAAGAGAAACTGGGAATTACCTTTATTATTTCCTCTTTGTTTGATAAAATTTTGAGCGTGTTTTGGATTATTTTTGATCTAGTTTTTATTGCTCAAGTGATGGCTCCGGTCATCTTTCATGATAGGGATCTTCAACTTATCAACCTACGATCATCAAAGTTCAACAACGGACTATATTCAATTATAAATAATTTTCTTTTTATGTTTCTTCTTAAGCAATAATAATGCAATCAACTTCTATATTTGCAAATTTTCAAAATAATGCTATCCTTGGATTTTACTCCAACAAGTTTACAATGATTTGGGAGATGCACTATCATTTGTGAGCACGTAGATTGACCTTAAAATTTTGAGTGTGTTTTGGATTGCATGGGAGACACATTACCATTCTTAAGGCACAACATCTCTAAGCTCGTGCTTGCTTATGGTTACCTTATAAAGGACCTATTCCTTGTTAAGGTGGTGCTTGCAACATCAATACTTGCTTATATTATCTTTGTTTCCATGCATCTAGAACTCATCCCAGCTCTTACGTTACTTGTCTAAGTACTTTGTATTTTCTTGATTATAATCTAACGATTTTTCACTTAGATTTTTTATATGATTGGTATATTATACTTGCCATGCTCGAAGCACACAAGTCATTGTGGCGATTCAATAACGTAACATAAATAATGGATTCAATTGCAGAACTAATTCCTATTTAATCCCATTCATGTAACTATCTAGTTTCACAAGATTCAATTCCTAGTCTTGTCAAACAATTTGCAATATGATATGGTTGAAAGTCTCATCTAGAATCTTTTATGTTTACCTTAGTATGTATTGTTCCTAGATTTATAATAATTAAGTTCAACTCACTTAGATCATACATATGGGTCGAATCTTTCCAAAGTCTTTCATGTTTAACACAATAAATACCTTTACTTGTTCAAACATTTTATTAAGTCTATCTAATAGATGTTAATTCTCACTATGTACTAAGTATCGTCTAAGCTTGGTTCATTATTAATAAATACTTTCAAATCTAAGCAATTGTATGTCAATTTGCAGTGTAGAGCTCTATACTTCATATTATTGGACATAATAAAATCGAATTTTTGTCCCACTAAACTTCTTATCTATGAAAATTTCTATATTTATCAAGAAGACAAACTTCTTATTAATTTCATGAGAACATATTCCAATTCCTACATGCTTACCTCAAACCACCAATGGATTTCTTGAGCTCGCTTCCTATTAAGCATCCTATAGATAAACAAAACCCTCATGCTTTGTCCATAATTTCTTCTAATATCCCATCTAGGAAGACCATTTTAACATCTATTTTGCCATATTTTTTATTCTCAATGATTTCTAGAATAACACAAAAAAAAAAAAAAAAAAAAATTAAGCATTCTTACCCTATTTATAAAAAAATTATGTTTCATTGAAATCAACGCCATGAATGTAATTGCAACCTTTTCACAAATCTAGTTATGTATGCATATACATTTCCATATTTGTTAGCTTTTGTTTTGAAAATATATTTGCAATTGATGAGCCTTTACCCTTCATGCAAATTAATCAAGAATTCTAAACCTGATTTTCAAATATGGAGTCTATTTCATATGTTATGTGTAGACACCCATTTGTGTCCCCCCAAAATCAAACCCAGTGATGAATACCTTTCATTTCATTTGATTATCGAACGAGGTGAAAGTGTGAAAAGTGTAGTGATGAGGATGTTTTCTTAAAATATCTCTTCTTTCTGTTTTTGAAATATTTCTTTTCTTACCCTATTTATGAAAAACGTGCATTCCAGTTTATTTTGGTCCATGATATGGGTACAATAATGGTGTAGTTGGATGGGGCTTGAAAATACCTTTCCAACGATATATTATAAGCCCAATTCCGATGAATAATGAGTAAGTTATGACCAAAATACTAAATTGGGCCCAATTTGGTTCTTACATACGGCCCAATGATCTAGAGGAAGGCCTAATATTAATGAAAAGAATGGTGTCCTTCGAACAAGTGTACTATTCCGTTAGTGGGTTCAGAATTATTAGAAAGCTAATATATTCAGTGAGGTCAAGTGATCGGAATGCCTGGGTGGAGGCCACTTCTGATCAGTAATATTAATGAAAAATTAATATTACAGCTTAATCTTGACTGAACCCTTCGGGTCACACCCAAGCATTCAACAAACCGAACCGACGAATTAATTCGGAAGGAATTAATGAGTCGACCGAGTAATATTTATTTAGACGTCGGAAATTCGAGCTTAGAGCGTCGAAACCGAGCGTCGGAAGTCAAGTCGAAATATAGTGAAAGACGAGACGAGAAATAGTAATAAATCAACAAAAGACCAAAATACCCCTAGCATCGGAATGCCCAAGCAAACCGAG